GGGCAAGCTGACTCTCCGTTGGGGACTAATGTAGCTAGGCCCTTCAAGTTGACGCCAATGCTATTGTAATTTACCATTCAGAAAGTCTAGGACCTTTAAGAATTATGCTGAGTCTACTCTGCCTGTGCTCTATTAATAAAACAACAAAGCCAAAGCCTGAATGATAGCACATCTGTTTACAGCATGGTTTACTGATTAAGCCCATTGTAGAGACCTAATCCTCAAAAAAAAAAAAAAAAAAAAAAAGATTCCTTTCAAAATATTACTGCTCATTGACAATACACCTCATCACCCAAGAGCTCTGATGGAAATATATAAGGAGATTGTTTTCATGCCTAACACAACATCATTCTACAGACCATGGATCAAGGAGTAATTTTGATTTTCAAGTCATATTATTTAAGAAATACATTTTGTAAGGCTACAGCTGCCATAGTAAGTCTTCTGACGGATCTGAGCAAAGTAAATAGAAAACCTTCTGGAAAGGAATCACCTTTCGAGATGCCATTAAGAAAACTTGTGACTGGCAGGGCACAGTGGCTCACGCCTCTAATCCTAGCACTCTGGGAGGCCTGAGGCGGGAGGATTGCTGCTTGAGGTCAGGAGCAAGAGCAAGACTCCTGTCTCTACTAAAAATAGAAAGAAATTAGCCATACAACTTAAAAAAAATACATAAAAATTTGCCGGGCATGGTGGTTCATGCCTGTAGTCCTAGCTACTCAGGAGACTGAGGCAGAAGGATTGCTTGAGCCTAGGAGTTTGAGGTTGCCGTGAGCTAGGCTGACGCCATGGCACTCTAGCTGGGTAACAGAGTGAGACAAGAAAAAGGAAAGAAAGGAAAGAAAGAAAGAGAGAAAGAGAGAGGGAGAGAGAGAGAGAGAAAAAGAGAGAGAGAGAGAGAGAGAGAGAGAGAGAGAGAGAGAGAAAAAAAGAGAGAGAGAGAGAGAGAGAGGGAGAGAAAGGGAAGGAAGGAAGGAAGGAAGGAAGGAAGGAAGGAAGGAAGGAAGGAAGGAAGGAAGGAAGGAAGGAAGGAAGAAAGAAAAGAGAAGAGAAGAGAAGAAAAGAAAAGAAAACTTGTGACTGATAGGAGGAGGTCAAACTCACAACTTTAACAGGAGTTTGGAAGAACTTGATTTCAACCCTCTTGGATGACTTTAAGGGGTTCAATATTTCAGTGAAGGAGGCAACTGAAGATGTGTTGGAAATAGCAAGAGAAATAGAATTAGAAGTGAAGCCTAAAGATGTGACTAAATTACTGCAATATCATGATAATACTTGAACAGATTAAGAGTTGCTTCTTATGTCTGAAGAAAGTGGTTTCTTGAGATGGAATTTCTCCACTGCTGGTGAAGATGCTGTGAACACTGCTGCAATGACGACAATGGATTTTAGAATATTGCATTAACTTAGTTGATAAAGCAGCGGCAGGGTGTGAGAGAATTGAGAGAATTTTGAAAGAAACTCTACTGTGGGTAAAATGCTATCAAATAGCATCGCAAGTTACAGAGAAATCTTTCATGAAAAGAAGGGTCAACTGATGTGGCAAAACTTTATTGTTATATTTAAGAAACTGCCACAGTACTACTAACCTTCAGTAACCACTACCCTGATAAGTCAGCAACCATCAACATTGAACCACGACCCTCTACCTGCAAAAAGATTGTGACTCGCTGAAGGTTCGTGTGATCATTAGCATTTTTTAGCAATAAAGTATTTTTTAACTATGGTAAGTATGTTATTTTTAAGACATAATGCTATTGCACACTTAATAAACTACAGTACAATGTAAATATAACTTTTATGTGCATTGGGAAACCAAAGTAATTGTGTGACTCACTTATTGCTATATGTGTTATTGCAGTGCTCTAGAAGTGAACCCACAGGATCTCTGAAGTATACCCATAGTATTTTTAAAGCAGATAAACCTGGCAGACACCATCTTAACTATGTGATCAAAGTTAACACCATGAGTAATGAAAAACCAATACCATGTACCTCCCAATCTGATGCACTGAGAAGAACACATCGTTTCTCTGGTATTTTTGCCAAAACTGGTCTTGCCAAACCTGAACCTAGTCATGAGGAAAGAAATAAACCAAACTTGAGAAATATTCTACAAAATAATTGGCCTGTACTCTTTAAAATATTTCTAGCTCATGAAAGAAGAAAGAGAAAAGAAAGCTGAAGGAATATGACAGAGAAACGAGGGCTTAGGAAACATGACAGCTACAAGTCATCCAGGGGCCCCAGAAAGAGACGATTGAAAAATCTGGATTAAATCTGCAGACTAGATAATAATATTGAATCAATGTTAATATCTAAATTTTTATTATTTTACCTATGGTTATGAACTTATTGTTAATAAATATTTTGGGGCTTTTTTTTTCTATTCTTTCTTTTACCATCTTCTTTGTCAGGCACTTATTTTTAATAAATACGCAGTGAAGAATTTAAAGTTGAAGGAGCATCATGTCTGTTGTTTGGTCCAAAGGTTCAGAAAAAAACTTATATACAAACATACTTATACATACACATAAGTGTATGTGTGTGTGTGTGTGTGTGTGTAGTTTTTTGAAATTAAAAAGAAAAAACAACCTAGGTAAGCCTAAGCTTTTTGAGGAGGAAGATGGAAAAGAAGGAAGACTGGAGCAGACTCCCAAGTCTTTTGCCTCCCCTGTTCCTGACTGTGAGAAGCATTGCAATGTCTGCGGCTTCCCTGAAAGTTACTGCGAGAGACCCCGCCAGTCAGATCTCTCAGGCACCACTGTATCTCCAAAGCCCAGAGCCTAACACAGGGCCTGGCAGAAGACAGGGGCTCAAGAAATGGCCATGAATGAATGAACTATAAGGAATATCTGAAAGAAACCATGGGCAAACCTAGTTGGTGGTGCTCCTTCTTGCAAAGCTGGTAGAATTGTAGACCTCTTGTGTAAATGCTGGATGGGAATAACTGGCAGAAGGCACTGGAATGGCGAGTGAGGTATGGCCCTACTCCAAGGGATTCTGTTTACTGAGGAGGAAGGAGATGGGGCATGTAGCCTTGGGATGGCCTGACATGGCCCTGCTCTTCTGAACTGGGTGTGATTCCAGGTACTGAGTATCCCAGCATCCAAGGTCTCTGTTGGATCAAGCATAAGCCATTTGATTCACTAAGATAAGAAGAATGAAGATCAAGATGCCCCAAGATAACAGTAAGGATAGAAACAGCTCCATAGTCAGTAAATCCTTCATCATGAAAACAATGCCTCGTTACATTCAGCTATTACTTCCCAAACCAACTAATGCTTGTCTTGTCCAATTCACATTGACTTTGCACATTAGCTCTAAAATTAGATTTAATTACCAAAGTTCAAAAAAGATTCCAAAAAATTATTTAACACATTAACTGCCTCATGAGTTGTATTTAACTCACACTAGTTTTGAGCCTGGGGCCTTGTGGAGCATATGTAACTCACACATCTCTTTACCTTGGGAACTGCATGAACTGTTTTTCAAGTTGCATATAACTCATGCCCAGAAAACAATTAAAAACAACACATTTTTCATTAAATTAGAAAGGATCGTTTTGTTTTCAAAGTTTTTATTCTATTTTCATAATAAAACACTGTGGGCCCACGGAAAAATGTTTTTTTCCTAGTGTGGCAGTCAATGTGTTAACAGATGAAACATGTGACTTTGCTTTGAAAAATGCAGGTAATTCAGGAATGTCCCAACAGAGTGCTTTTCCAGAAAATTCAATTCAGAATAGAGACAAAGGGAAAAAAATGCAATCCACAGGCCACTGAAGTATTAGCTGTTCCTATAACCCACAGAAAATTGGGACCTAGAAGAAATGTACTTGTTCTAACCACCGAGATACAATTTCTAATGAACACTATGTCATAATATTCCAGAAAAAAAATAAACAAGGTAAACCGCAGCACATAACAGAGGTCAAGACTCCAAACTGCAAACCTCATTTGCATATTAATTCAAATAGGAGCCTTTTTGCTTTATAAATAGGAATACAATTTTCAAGGTATCTCTAACTGCGATTGTTATGCTCACTGGTAGGGACTTGTTTACCAATTTATTTAAAAATGAGTTCTTATGGCAAACCCAAATCATAATAGGGAAATAAAGCAAAACACCCTAATCAATCAGTAATACACAGTGAGCCTACGGAGGAACTTGGGCAAGTTGATACAGCTGCCCTCTCTTCCTCTTTACTTGGCACATACAAGAGAGGCCAATTAGTTCTCTGCCAGACTTGTGTTCCTTCCTCCAACTTAATTAATAAGGGCAGATATTTACCTTGACCTCAGAATCTTAGTTGTCTGCTAGGAGTTTGTCCCTAACACCCCTCTCCTTCCCATATCCCATTTCAAAGCTGCCCCACCTAGGCATATCAGGAGAACCTAGGCATACCATACTTCCTTATAGGCTTTCCCAGGGGTATGTTATCTGTACAACCCAAGGACTCGATGGAAGAATGATATCTGACCAGGCCCCAAGGGCAGGAGCCAGGTTTTACCCCTTGTGTGTTCAGTGTTCCTCCTATCCCAGACCCAATCTAGTCCTTGGGCTGTTAGAGATGTGGCTCTCTCAATACCAGGTAAAATCTGGAGAATTCATGGTAACCTGAGGCCTGACCTAAGGGTTTCAGAAGAAACCCCTCCTTCTGTGAGGCTCACAGACCATCAGTCTACATGCAAATAGGTAGATAGCATGGTATTTCTTAACACTTCAATCATTCTCTATGTCTAGCTTGCCCACCCCCATGCCTTCTCATTTCTCCCTGAGAAAGCATACTAGGGATACCCCTGGATTGCTCCACAACTGGAATGATGTTAGCACATCAGTAAAAATCTAAAGAGGAAGCACAGACACTGGACCAAAGTATATTATTACAGCTCTGGAAATTTAAGCCATCATGCCGGTCATCAACTGCCAGTATATTATCACCAATGAAAAATGCAAAAGCTTTGCCTCTTGGTCCCCACCCAACTGGTTCTTCTTACCTTTGGTTCCATTGAAATGAAACTGTGGGTTCCTCTACTGGAGAGAACTGACCTTTTAATTGTCCTGCTATGGTAGAAGTGGTAGTAGTCCTTCAGGGCCCCTATCTGCAAGGGCAGGGTGGGAGGGAAAGAACAAAAGAAAGGCATTAATGTAGGAAATGGTCTTCTGTTTTCCTGTTTTTCATTAAAATAAGAACACAAAACAAAAAAGGTCCATAAATTATGCAGTTGTTGGCTGGGCTTAAATGTTACCTGAACCCTGGTGATCACTTTTCAAAAGAGGGACATGTGATATGAAACAGAGTGTCCTTGAGGCAGTGACTGCGGAACTAAAGATTATAATGGGGCAGCTTAGCCTCTCCATATCTCCCTTTTAATGTTTAATTTATATGCAGCATTTTAAGTAATTCTATATCAATCTATATCCAAATGTGGGAAAGAGGGGGAAAAATCAAACAGCTATCTAGTTATAAAAACACATTGCATTTTTGTTTGCTCCTAGAAATGTACAATGAAGGACCTTGTTAGATTATTTATATAGTTAATTTGAAACGTCTTCAGCAGTTGATCATTCACAAAGATAACACCACTTAGTTTGTGCCCTGACTTCCATAGACAGTATAAATACATAGCTCATATTCATTTATTACAAAACTGAAAATGAAATGGCAATTTCTAAAAAAAAAAAAATCACACATCCTACCTATCAACTAAGCTTCCTGTGTAAAAATAGTTCAATGCACTTTATCTTAGCCATTTCTTTAACATTTTATTCTTCTTGTTTATGTATCCCTTACCTTAGTTAAAAACAGGTCAGTTTAAGTATGGCTTTGAAAATAAGTCCCTGTCCGCGTTGAGAAAAAAAACTAACAAAATCCCAAACAACCATATTTTTTCAGCCAATTATAGAATGTGGATCACAGAATGGAAATTGAACTATACAATGAACACAGGAGAGCTTGGTTCTAATTGCAAAGGACACTCACAGAACTAAATAGCATATACTTCCTAAGGCTCCCTTTCCTTTTCTATTAACCACTTCGGCACTCACTGGCCACAAAACCTTGCCCACAGCCGGCACTCACAGTCCCCACGATAGTTCGTGCTGTGCATTGACGACAAATCCGTTTTGCACTTGTGTGATGAGGAAAGCTTTAAAGCACTGAAAGACTGTTGTACTTTACAGGTAGCTTTACTTGTAATGTAAATCAGAATAGGTAACATATACATATATGTTTTCATTTACGTTATTTTTAAATGTTCACAATTTTATTTTGATAAATGAAAAATTAGAAAAGTCATATGACGGCTGTTGGCTAAAGTCGCTGTGGGCGTTCATCTGTGGCTATGGACTACGGTCGACGCTGGTACCAAAGTGGTTAAATTGGACTTGGGGCTAGTTAATTTCTAAGACCACCTAGGGGCTCAAATTCCATTCTTTGACATTGACACTTTGCTTTGGGCAAGCACATGAAGTGGCTATTTCTCCAAAACACCCATGGCTCTACCCTAAACAAGAATGACCATCATCCAGGTGTTTTCCAATTGGGACAATACAAACATTGGGCTTTCCTAATTAAAAAAATAAAAAAGAAAGAAAAAAGTCATTGGCCCAGGTTAATATTTCCAGATAAAAGGTTTAATTTTCATTCTCTTCTTTTCATCACATTCTTAACCATCAACCCACTCAATTTCTGTGCCCATTAGAAATCATCTCCTCACGGGGGCTTTATGCTGTCATTGAATGTCTCATCATTACGAATCTGGAAGAATTCTGAAGTCTTGCATTTCTGATTCAAGTGTAAACTGCCCTGACCTACACTGAAAAGATCCTGGACTCTGAAAACAAGAAGGGACGAGGGCGGGGACATCCCTGCTGAAGCCGCCTCTCATCTCAGTGACCCGGGTCTCTGAAGCAGCAGCAAACAATGAGGAAGAGGATACAGGTGCCAGCCTCAGCTTCCATCAGTGTTTCAAGGAGAGATTTACAGAAGGATTTTAAGATTCCAGAGGACTAAGGGTAGAATTCAGGAGTGGCTGCGTAATCCTTTACAAAGAAAATCTTAAAATCCCAAGAAGCTTAGGGTTTTCTTCTCATGTAATTTTTGTCAAGAGTGTTTCTTGGTAAATATATAGTAGTTCTCATGGAGAGGAATGCAGAATCTCCGAGGAAGAACGTCTTGGAATGACTAACACAGTTACTTCTGGGCTTCTCACAGGCATCTGCACTGTCCACTCCCTTACCCCCTCTGTTTTCTACACAGTGGCTTGAGTGATGCTTCCAAAATGTAACTCTGGCTGTTGTGTGTCACACCCCTGTCCAAAACCCTTCAGTGGTTTTCTCTTTGCTCTTAAAATGAATAGTATTAGTAAACATTTAATAATACTATTTCATACTATAGTTTTGAAAAGTACCTCAGAATAATGTATTAAACATCTACACTATGCCAGGAACTATTCTGTAAGCCTGACCTACCTCAGGGACTGAAGACATTAATTATCCTGCTCTGACCTACCGGCCTGGATGACCCGGCCCGGCCACCTGCTCTGACCCCGCCTCAAATCACACTCGCCCTCATTCTCTAGACTCCGGCCATGCCGGCTCCTTCAGTTCCTTGACTGTGTCATACTCACTGCTCCTTCTACCTACAGCACCCTCCTCCGCCTCCACCTGGATTCCTCTTCCTCATTCTTTCTCTCGTCGCATGGAGGAAGTCTTCTGAAACTACCCGGATGAGGTCAGCTTCATTAATTATATCATCTCATAGAATCGTAAGAGTATGTACCTGGAGTTACACCTTGATTAGTACAACGACTGGTTTAATGTCTGTGTCCCCACCTGCCTGCTGTTCCACGGAAGCAGGAAGACACCCATTCTGCTCACCATTGTATTTCCCAGCTCCTAGCGCATGGCACGACACAGAATAAGGTCTCAGAAAAGATTGCTGAACGAGTGATCTAAAAATCAGAATTCTTGAATACTCAAGTCACATACAGTAGAGCTATATGTGGTTAAAATTTTCTAGTTGTAACTATCAAAGAACTATCAAATGAAGGCTAATTTCAGCAAAAATAGTTTAATTCTACCTTAAGTACCTACTCTGCCAAGGTTATGGTTCTGAAGGTTATGGGTTAAGACATCTCTACACTTTTTTTTGTTTTGGTTGCAAGACAACGGCTAAGAAGTAGTGTGCATTAGCTCAATTGTTCTGCTTCATCCAAACAAAATAATCTATCACCTTCTAAGGGGAAAATATATATATATATATATATATATATATATATTTAAAAGCATGTTTAAGTGTCTTATGTATTAATATGCATATCCCTTATTGGCAAGAATTGTGTCTTTTATATTCTTTCAACAACACCAAGCATGCTGAGGGCATTTAATAAACATTAAGAAGAAAAATGTCACAACATGTTGGGAGTTATTCAAAAGAAAGACAGTGTAAGAAAACAGAGCAGTAATATTATCTATAAGCAGACATTCCACCTAGCTTCTCTGGGGTAATGTAAAACAAAAAATGACTGTGTTTATGTTATGCAATGGCAACAAGGGCTGAAACAAGGAACAATATACAACTAACATAGGGACATCTTATAAATAAATCAGGAACAATAGGAGTATATGAAGTATAAAATCGATAGCAAATAGTTCAAAGCCCAGCCTTCTCCTTAACACTACATAAAGGAAAGAGGATAATTTCCTCCCTCTTGGCCCTCATAAGCTCTTCTTCTATGCAATCACACAAAAGCACTCTTCCCTGCCTAGCAACACAATTCTATGTACAACACTACGTCAATGAATGTCATCTTGTGTTCATGATTCTGTCAAGATTTTTGTGCTTTTTCTTCCTTACTGGTAGCTCCTCACCCTTGCACCCAGAATTTTCCTATCACTACCCCTTCTCAAACCAAAATTTATTCTTAAGAAAGGCTTTTGTAAAGTATTTTATACTAAGGTGTAAATGACTGGTATGACTCTATGTTTCAGTTCTTTCAGGGATAACCGCATTTGATCAGAAAATTAACATTTGAGCTATAAATGTGTCCATAGTGCTTGTAATTTTGGAAAACAATCTTTGGAGTTTATTTTTTTCCTAGTGTCAGGAGGGAACCTTCCCAATGCCTCTAAATTCTCACATCACAAGTGAGCTATTGACTTTCGAGCAGAAGGCTGGGGTCTACACTTTACATTGGCTTTGCCCCTAAGGAGGAGCATCAGAATTTATTTCAGAATTTATTCACCACTAACAGTTTCACCTGAGCTTACCACTAAAACCCTCACCAGTCTGGTGACTCTCTGAATATAGTCTGTAGCTTCCTTACACATACACTTCTCTATTTTGACCAACCTACACCCTACAGAGGGTTTGGCCAGGACTGAGGCATTTCCTGAGATATAAGATTTTTCAGTGCTGAACCTGGGATAGTCCTAGGCAAATTAGGACAGTTAGCCACCTAGTTATGGAGTGCCAAGGTCACAAGCACTACAGTCACCTTGATGAACCTGTCAGTTCTCTCAGGCTGTTTGTCTGCCATGTTTTCCCTACTGCTCTCTCCAGTTTATAGATTCTCCAAATTCCTCACTTGTTTTGAAAAGTTATTTACTTCTATTCTACAAAAATGTTAACCCAAAGACAAAGGGAAAAATAGGAAAGGACATTTCACAAAAGAAGATATACAAATAGCCAATAAGCACATAAAAAGATGCTCAAATGCAATGCAAATTAAAATCATAATAGCAATGCACACACATTAGAATGGCTAAAATTAACAAGACTGACAATATCAAGTTTTAATGAGATTGAAAAGCACTGGAACTCTCATACATTGCTATGGTTCAACGTCTTTGGAAAACCGTTTGGTAATTTCTGCTAAAACATACACCCTCCTCATGATCTACACATTTCACTTCCAGGTGTTTACTCAAAAGAAATGAAAACATTATTTCCAAAAAAAAACTCACACTCAAATTGTTCATAGAATTTTCTTAATAATAGCCCCAAGCTGAAAACAATGCAATTGTCCATCAATAGGTGAATGAACAAATAGATTATGGTATATCTATATAATAGAATGCTATCCAGCAATAAAAAGCA